AGCTGCTGACCATCCTGTGTCCCCAGGAGCCTTCCACAGTCACAAAAGCTTCTACTTGATGACTAAACCAAGTCCACTCTCTTGAGAACGCTTTTCCACAATAGTTCAGAGACAAACTTTAGGCATGAGCCAAAAATCACGTTAGTAGTGACCTCACTTCCTTAGCAATTATCAACGTGTGTGCTATAAAGGGGGTGAGGGAAGGGGCAGAGGAAAACTTTCATTCTGCTTCTTTCCTCTCCTGGATCAGGAACCAGCACAGAAAGCAGCAGGTCCTAACAGCACAGGGCGTGGAACCAGCCCAAGGGTATAATTGTCATCTCCACCACTTACAAGGTCTTAGTGATGAACCCTCCAAAGCTTTTGTTTCCTCATCTGTAAAACAGGGATAAAGATAACTGATTATCTACCAAGAAGATTGTGAGGATTAACTGAGATAACACATTTAACATGCCTGGTACGCCGTTAGTGCTCAATAAATGGGGACTCTAAGGGGGAAAGCAGACACACCTCCTGCTCCTTCCAAACCTCTGAGCCCCCCATTCTCTGTGTGCCTTCACTACATGCCTAATGCTACCATGGAAGATGCAAAAGGAAGTGTGAGTGGGTCTTATACCGCCTTCAAGGAGACTGGAGACCTCGGGAGATGAACATAGAGGAGTCATTGCTCAGGAGAGTTGGAGTCACTGGCTTCCTGGATAGAAATTGGACCTCCAGTGGGTACCTTCTGTGAATCCGGAATGCATTAATAAGTGCCTTATCAGAGGCACGATTTGACCTGGGTCTTGACTGATCAAATCAAATATGTGTAAAAATGCAAGAGCAAAGGAAGATTGGCATATGTAGGGGCCTTTGACATTTTTATGGGACTCGAGTGAAGAGGAAGAATAGTGAGAAATAAAGTTTGGATAAACAAACTTTTTGTTTTCCTTCTTCTTTTTCTTTCCTTTCTTTTTTTTTTTTTTTTGGAGGAAGATTAGTCTTGAGCTAACATCCGCCACCAATCCTCCTCTCCATTGCTGAGGAAGATTAGCCCTGAGCTAACATCCATGCCCATCTCCTTCTATTTCATTTGTGGGACACCTGCCACAGCATGACTAGATAAGTGGTGCATAGATCTGTGCCCGGGATCTGAACCGGCAAACCCCTGGCTGCCAAAGCAGAGTGCGCAAACTTAACTGCTATGCCACTGGGCCCACCCCTTTTTCTTTTTTGTGTGTGTGACTTACTTCCAGATTGAGGGTATATTAGTTTGCTAGGGCTGCCACAACAAATTACCACAAAATGGGGGGCTTAAAGCCACAGAAATGCATTGTCTCACAGTTGTGGAGCCTGAAAGTTCAAAATCAAGGTGTTGGCAGGCTTGGTTCCTTCAGAAGCCTCTAGTGGAGGATCCTTCCTTGCCTCTTCCAGCTCATGGTAGGCTCAGTGTTCTTTGGCTTGTGGCAACATCACTCCAATCTCTGCCTCCATCTTCACGTCTTCACATCTTAGCTCTTAGCTCTGAGCCTCTGTTTTCACATTGCATTTTCCCTGTGTGTCTGTGTCCATTTTTCCCTCTTCTTATAAGAACACCAGTCATATTGGACTAGGGCCCATCCTAATGACTTCATTGATTATATATGCAAGACTCTATTTCTAAATAAGGTCATATTCATAGGCACCAGGGATTAAGACTCAGTGTATCTTTTTGAGGAACACAGTTCAACCCATAAGAGAGCTGTATTTCATGTAAGCAATGAGAAGGGCTGATTATATTTAACAGGAGATGTATGTTAGTTGGACATACAAGTGGCTGGACATATGGAAATCAAGAGACAGTCCTGCCATACAGATCATCTTTGAAGAAGAAATGAAGCCTCTGAAAGGGAAGATGATCACCTGTAGAATTGTATAGAGCAGAAAGAAGAGGGCCACAGATAGAAGCTTGAGGACTCCCACCTAGGAACTGAGTAACTATTATTGAATGGCGATTAAAGCATATTGGGAAGTGCTGTCAATGCTGGTTATACAGTGGTGAACCTGATAGGAATGTCCTGATTTCATGGGGCCCCTATGCCAGAGCAGGAGGCAGAGGAACCTAGGAAAGAGTGGCGAGCAAGGAAGAAGAAAAATTAGGGGTGAGTGGAACCACAGAAGCAAAGGGAGGAAGGGTAAAAAGAAGGAGAGTTGGCCAATGCTGTCAAATGCTGAGCAGAAAGAGGAAGCAAGACGAGAATAGAGAGTGGTCATTAGATTGAGCAACAAAAGAATTGTTGATTGACCCCAGGGCGTAGGATTTTCATAGAATGTTGAGGGTGGGAGCCAGAATGCCACTGGTTGAGAAGTGGGTATAGACTGTTCTTAGAAGAGGTGAATAGGCTTAAGATTGAGGAAGTCTGTTTTAAGACAGGTGACCCTTGAATATTTGTATCTATGGAGTTGAAGGAGGGAGATGTTGAAGACAGAGGAGAGAGAGATGAGAGGAGGCGGAGGAGGAGGAGAGAGAGAGGGAGCTGATCACTGATGGAGAGAGGTTCCTGAACAGGAGTTCAGTGAGTGGAGGCAGGAGGAAAGATCTGGGCTGGAGGAGAGCCACATGACTGCCAGAAGAAATGTGATGAGGATGACTGTGGATGGTGATAAATCCATAGGTGGGGAAGAGGTGAGACTCAGGACGATCTTCACATCCTTGACTCAGAATTTGAGCTGCTTCTTTATCACCCCTTGACTAGAGCTCATGGGGAGGTGCTGTTACCCTCAGCCCTTCTGTAGCATTTGCCTTCTCAGCTCTACTCCTATAGCGCTGATCAGTGTCCACGTCACATGTGGCCCTTCCTCAATCCCCACTGACCACGTGAGGCCTTGTTCTGTCTGGAACATCACTGTGGGAGACTGTGGGGAGGTGACAAAAATGCATCCTGTGGGTTCTAGTCCTAGTTTTGCCTCAGACCAGCTGGGTGATCCTGGGCAAGTCATTTGACTTCTTTTGACTTCAGTTTTCTCCATCTATAAAATTAAGCAGCTAGACTAAATGCTGTAAAACAGGGGTCAGCAAACTATAACCCATGGGCCAAATCTAGCCCCTTGCCTGTTTTTATTAATAAAGCTTTACTGGGTGTTATGGGCTGAATTTTATCTCCTCCAATTCATGTGTTGAAACCTCAACACCTAGTATCCCAGAGTGTGACTGTATTAGGAGAGAGGGCCTTTAAGGAGGAGATTGAGTTAAAATGAGACCATTGGGGTGGCCCTAACCAAATCTGACTGGTGTCCTCACCATAAGAGGAAATTTGGACACACAAAGAGACACCAAGGGTATTTGCACACAGAGGAAAAACCATGTGGGGACACATTGATACTGTGGCTGTCTGCAAGCCAAGGAGAGAGGCCTTGCAAGAAACTAACCCTGCTGACACCTTGATCTTGAACTTCCAAGCTCCAGAACTGTGAGGAATAAATTTCTGTTGTTTAAGGCCCCCTGTCTGTGGTGTTTCACTATGGCGGCCATAGCAGGTCGCCACATTGGAACACAGACCCATCTGCTCATACATTATGGCTAGACTGGGACTCTAATGGTAGAGTTGAGTATCTGCAACAGAATGTGCCAGGCTGCCAAAGCCTAAAATATTTACTCTTTGGCCCTGTACAGAAAAAGTTTGCTGACCACTGCTCTAAAGCACCCGGAAAGCTATTCTAAATAGAAATTGTAGGAAGGTCATACAAGTTTATTTCATTTTTTATGCTCTGGTTCCCAAGTTAGACGCAGATCTCTTGGGGGTCAAGGATCACATATTCTATAGGAAGGGGAAAATACTGTTCGCTAGATATGGAAACAACGTAAGTGTCCATTGACGGATGAGTGGATAAAGAAAATGCGGTCTATATACACAGTGGAATACTATTGAGCTTTAAAAAAGAAGGAACTCCTGCCATTTGCGACAACATGGATGGACACTGGGGGCATTATGCTAAGTGAAACAAGTCAGGCAGAGAAAGACAAATACCGTGTGATCTCACTTATATGTGAAATCTAATAAATACCAAGCTCATAGAAACAAAGAGTAGAAGGGCGGTTGCCAGGGGAGGGAGGCTGGGAGGTAGGGCAAACGGATGAAGGGGATCAAAGGATACAAAATTCCAGTTACGAAATGAACAAATCCTGGGGATGTAACGCACAGCATGGTGACTATAGTTAACAATACTGCATTGTATACTTGAAATTTGCTAAGAGAGTAGATTTTAAAAGATTTCCTCACACACACAAACTGTCACTATGTGAAGAGATGGATGTGTTAACTAACCTTATTGTGGTAACCATTTAGCAATATATACCTATATACGAAGTCATCATTTTGTACACCTTGAATTTACACAATGGCATCTGTCAATTGTATCTTGATAGAACTGGAAAAAAATACACAGAATGACAACCAGTACAGCTTCCCATTTGTCTCCATGTTTTGCTATTGCCTTTTTTTTTTAGTAAACAAAATTTTTTCATAAAAAATAATACTCTTCACTGAGCATCTGCTGTATGCCAGAAATGATGTTACGCACTTTGCTTTCAGTTGGTCCCCACAATAACTCTGTGAGGTGAGTACATATCTTATTCACATTTTATGTATTAAGATGACAAGGCTGGCTGGGGTGAAGTGACTTGTGCTGGACACAGAGCCTGTAAAAGTCAAAGCTGAGAAAGTGACCAGGTAGGTCTATCTTCAGAGCCGTGATCTTTTCACCACACTATGCCACTTGCAGTTGAGATTTTTTGTCGTGCATTTGCGTCCCCTGTGATTTTTATTACATTGTCGCGAATAGATACTCAGAGAATGTTTTGTGAATTAATCCCCGGCTTGTGCTTCTCCCAAATATGGCAACCCTTCTGTCAACAAATAGGTAGTAAACATCTACTGTAGGCCAGAATCTGTTCTAGTTCTGGGCACACGTAATTAACAGACAGACAATATTCCCTGCTCTTGTAGAGTTTGCTGATTGTGAATTGGTTGTATCGTTTTCAGTGGCTTTACACCAACAGTCTACAACAGCTTGCCCCGGCCTGATCCTGTACTCTCCGGGTGACAAAGGCTCAGCTGAACGGCAGCCAGCTCTGGGACTCAGCACCAGCACCCGGAAGACCAATCAGTGCCAGAAGCTCTTTTTCATCATCTGAAAAATGCCTCCAAATCCACTTCCCCTTTGCCATTGCCTCCCTCTCCTTATTGCAGAAGAGGATAGCTTTGTTCCCACACATTTCTCTCTCTTGCACATGCACCATATATATATATTTGAAGAAGCTATCAAATCCACAAGCTATGAAGCAGAGTCTTTGATAGAAAGCGTGATCTCCAAGAGACTTTGAGGGGGAAAAACCCCATAAACCAAACTGAATCTGGCTTTCCAAAGCAATGATTTCCTTCTTCAAAGGCAAAAAAGAGAAAAAAAGTTTTGGACTTTCTAAAACTTCAGGGTATTGTCTCTGAAATCAAATTAGACATTGTGGCCCAGCTGAACACTTAAGCTTAGTCTGGGACAGAGTGGCCAATCACGACATCTTGGGGCCTGCAGCCATTGGCACCCGAGCGTTCCATTCAGCTGTGAAACTTGTCAGTGGAACTTATCTGACCTTTAGCTGGTAAGCCGGAATTGCTTACCATCTCGCTTCCACTAGACTAATAGCACTTTTCAGCGCAGCTCAGGTTATCACTTGACATCCCTGAAATCTATTTCTAAGGGAAAATGGAAGTCTAATTGGGGAAAAATCAATTTTTAATGAAACAAAGTTCCCAAAAAACTTAATGTCAGATTTTATTATGCCATCTGCATTCACCTGTTAACACTGGGGCTAAGGCACCTCATGAAAGTAAAACATATATGTGTCTTCTCTATAATTTCTAGGCACTCTGGACATAATTGTATAAGAAATTGTGGAGGGAGTGCCAAAATATCTCCGCCATACACTGACTATTTCGTTTGGTCTCTCTATTTTTTTTTTTAACATGTGAAATGAAGTTGGTAGACTAAATAATATTTAAGCTCTCAACACTCACCAATTTCTGTATTAACCTAAAAGACCTTAATAGTTTGTAACTATAGGTATTTCAGCGCAGATACTTTATATGCTACAGGAAATTGGAATCTCTCCCACACTAAATGTATTTCCAATAAAAGCAGGCCTCTGGACTCCTGTCATAACACCAGTAAGTCCTGTGAAGTTGTCTTTAGCATTTATTTATTTATTTTTATTTATTTATTTATTTTTTTTTGAGGAAGATTAGCCCTGAGCTAACATCTGCTCCCAATCCTCCTCTTTTTGCTGAGGAAGATTGGCCCTGAGCTAACATCCGTGCCCATTGTCCTCTACTTTCTATGTGGGACACCTGCCACAGCATGCCTTGGCAAGCAGTGCCATGTCCGCACCTGGGATCCGAACCGGCAAACCCCGGGCCACTGAAGTGGAACATGCGAACTTAACTGCTGCACCACCAGGCTGGCCCTTGTCTTTGGCATTTAAAATGACAGAGACTAAGCTCTCTGCAGTCCCTCGCAGCAAGAACATCTAGGAATCTACAACTCTAAGGTTTCCTAGAGCTGGCTGATTCCCTAGAAAAGCTTTTGGAGGCCAGCTTGTCTTTTGGCACGGCATTGGTAACGATGGAGAGGGCGAGGAAAAGATTTTGCTGGACAAAAGTTAAAAGAACAAACAAGAAAGTGCACTCAACAACTTCCAAAGAAAAGCTGCACCACATTTTTCCAAAGTTATCCCATAACTAAACTTAAAAGGATTTATAGTTTTTCTCTCTTGAAGAACATTCTTACGGAAACTGATGGGAGCAAATTACCCATTCTGTAGGAGCCACTGATGGTCACAGTGCCATATGCAGAGCATTTGAAGACATTCCACTTTTTATCTTGTAATTAGCGTAGCATTTACCTGGAAGATGGTAAAAGCTAAAACGAAGTTGCATTTTGGAAATGTGTACCATATGAACTATGGCTGTACCATAGTTAGAAATAACCTCAAAAAATTTCAGAGATGAAATGAGGTTCTATTATGTAAATCTCCATTTAGGCTCTGGCTCCTAAGAAAAACAAAACAAAGGAACAACAAGTAAGATTTTTGGAAAAGATCCATAAAAACAATTTAAGTTTACTGAGTAAATAAATAGTAGACAGTTTAAAATTCTCCTTGGGGATTATTGAGAAAGTGACTTGAAGAAATTAGAGATGAAGAGGCTTGTTTTATATGGCCCTCCAGGGGATGTTTTCTTGGGTTCTTTCCTTCTGGATTAAAAGGTCAAACTGACGATAACACTAATAATAAATTTTATACTCCCAATGTCTTCTAAGATCTTTAATAGGCTTATGAGGAGTGGAGACATGTAGCGTTCAAGTTTAATGTGGCTACTGTTGGAATTATGACTTCCTCCAAGCCATCTATATCTGATAAGGAAACTCAAGAGCATAGATTATGACACTTGACCAAATAGAGCCGGTCTAGTTCGATGATTTGTTCTGAAGGCAATTTCTCTTACTCTGGCCCAAGAGTAGGCCTAAAGGAGAAATAAATTTCTTTTTGGTAGAATTCCAAGGTCATTTTGCATCCAAAAAATTACATAGATGAATGGAATAAATTATTTGATAATTATATATAATTTATACATTATAAAATTATATCACCTCTTTCATTTTAACCCCTTACTCTATAGAGTATCTTTCTCAACATTCCTATGAGTGATTTTCCTAGAGAGCAGGGAAGAATGAAGGATGGAATTATGTTAACAACATGTCTACCACCCCTCCAACCTTTGGACCACTTGCCAGCTATCACTTGTTCTATTAACAGAATTACTTTTAGGATTTTGATGGAATATTTCCCACATGGTCCCTGATCTGTGACACGTCACTAGCTCATGAGGGTAATTCGCAGGGAATTCAACATATAGACCCATTTCTAATAGCAAATGAGGCAAATGGAGGGTTTTAAAGGCAAAACATATATGTAGGCAAGAGAAAAGTTGGCTGTATGTAAGTACCTCTAAAGGTAAAGGCTATAAAGAAGTGATTCACTTTAAATGAGAGGATGTAAAACGTAGCAAAATAGGAGCCTTCAGATAATTCACTTTCCTCATCTTATAATAAATAATGTTACCATGTATGTAAATACAGGATTTTTTTGTTTTTTATTTGGTTTACAGTCTACCTCCCCCCACTCCCCGCCCTCAAAGTACCAGGAAGAAATAAAAGCAAAATTTTTGCTCTCCCATTATGGCAGCTTTGTTTCTCTTGAGTGCTCAGACTTCTGGATATTTGTGAGGCTTATTTTTCAGGAGAGCGGTCAAGGTTTACAAAGTAAAAGAATTTCTATTTCTGTCGCTGTTGAAATGGCTGTAAAATGGGGGGAAAACACATTGGTTGTTAGAGAAGTGGCTGTTTCCAGGCCATCAGAACAGAAAGATCGCCACCTCGCGCAGTGACTGCATTCAGGGGCTTCAGGAGGGCTCGGTGTCAGTTAATTATCTCAATTCCCAAGCCACTGACCCTGCTACCTTCTGTGCTTCCCTATGTGGGGACTTCCTCCAGGTCTTGGCTAACGCACAGGAATCTGATGTTTAGAAAGTCACTTTCCTGTCCTTATAAACAATTCCACCATAATAACCTGGCTTCTGGCACCAGAGGTTCATTTAAATTTTGCTCAGCTTGGTTTACCATTAAGATTTAATTAGTAAACTCATTACAAAGACAGGAAATCTCTGACTTTCCCCTGATTCTCTTTCAGGGCTTCGCAAGGACCCAGCCTGTCCCTTTGGCTTTAGACATTTGCAGAAAGTTTTCTCTAAACATTGTTATTTATGTTAACTTTAGTTTCAAGATAAAATATTATTCTTTGCTTTTGAAAATAGATGGAAGTAACCTAGTCACTCAGAATTTAGGGTTTCAATTTCCCTATTTAGAAAATATGCCCTGTGCATATTTTTAAACTTTCTAGACTCTGAGAGTCTGTTTAGATCGTCCCAACTTTTCTCAAACAGTAGAAACAGGGATTGAGTTTGGGAAATGGGGGAAAGAATGTCAATAGGGACAGGCAGAGTAAGAGTGGAGTGTAAACACCGCATCATGACACCCTCAAAATAATTCATAACGCTGGGCTATTTCCTTGCTCCTGGAGTGCAAAAGAAGGAGAAGAAGACCTGTGTCTGTGAACCACGGTGAAGTATTCATATTTTGCTAAAAAAGAACAGCAAAAAGCATCTGCCAGAAAGCTACGAAGAATGAGGGGTAAAATAAATGGACACTCAACTGAGACAGAACTTTGCCATGTTAAAAGTCCAGAACTAAAACAGTTTAGCTGGTACTATTTTTATGAGACAAAAGCTAGATAAATTCATCCTGAGAAAATGAGGTCCCTTGGGGAAAATGATGGAAACTTTTGGCTCAGAGCTTAAGTGCCCTTGATAAAGCTGATGCAGTAAGACTCACGTTAAAACATTTACTTTGACCACACAATGGTGATTCCAGGACATTTAATAGAGAAATTTCCTTTCCTTTCAAATTCTTCCTATTTCATTTCAGCTTGCTTCCTGCAAAAAGCTGAAGGCTTTCGTGTGATCTTCGATCCTTAAGGAAAGTTTTACGTGGTTAAATGAATGACTCCTTTTTGGAAATTCAGTTTTTTAAAACTTGCTCATTAGAAGTAAGTTGTCTCTGATTTTAGACATATACTTGAAATGATGAATGAAAGGTTCTTTAAAAATCAACTCAACTGCTCTGATGGAGTCTTTTTCTCTAGTGATTTCTCTGATCATACTATTCTTTTCATCCTAAGAGCAGAAGCAAATATGGATCAGAAAGATTAAGTGATTTTCCTGAGGTTACATAGCAAACTTATAGGAAAAGCAGAAATAAGGTTTGTTTGTTTGTTTGTTTGTTTTAATTATGTGCAGAGCTCTGGGCAAACTCAAAGGGAAAAGTTATTAGTAGCTGTAAAAATCAAGACCCATGATACTTAATGAGTGTTTCTCTTGGGCAGCTTCTGACAGCTTTTATGAGGCCTTGGAATGTGTCAATAGATAGCACTGTGACCCTCTGGGAAGGAGCAAACCAAACCCTTTCCTCTGGGAAGCCTCATTCAGTTTGCTCCTGAACATTTTCAGGCAGAAGAGGAAGTGCAAACTTTACTTTCAAAATGGCTCAGAAGAGTTTGGAGGACATGGGACTTCAAAGGGTACTGGTCAAATTAAAGATACATGAATAAAGTCATCAGATAGCTTCATGGTACAGTTTCAAGTAATCTAGAAGTCAAAATAAAAGATTCCTCTCCTTGTCTCGTCAGCCCTCGGTTTGGCGGCCTTGGCAATCAGTGCGGGAACACAAGACACAGGCCAACATAGCAAGATTTTAGTTCTCACCTTTGAGATGCTGGGTGCTGGGCCCCATGGAGAGGAAGGCAGTGAAAAGGAAGAGGGAACAAGGATTTCTAAGAAAGAAGGCAGGAATCCTGAAGGCACAAAGGAATATAGAACTCCCAGGAAACGTAAGGGGTGGTACCTGGTCTCCAGAGGTTACTCTTGTCAACTGAGGTTGCATTTAATGGAAATACAACCATTTGAAACCACAGCAGATGTCCCTCTGAGCTGCGTAAAGAGCAGCAGAAGTAAACAGAAAGATCTGGGCCGGGGGTCTCCTAATTTCTCTGGATAAGGAATTCTGCTTGGGAAGGTATAACAAAAAAGATTTTGGACAGGGTCTTTAGCAGTTATGAGAGGCATAGGAGCGAAATGCAATGCATGAACCTTGACTGGATCCTGTTTGGAAAATGACAGCCATAAAAAAATCCTTAGTATAGTTGGGGACATTTAAATACGGATGAGATATTTTAATAGATTATATTATGGAATTATTATAAATTTTCCTGGGTGTGGTTATATCGTTGTGGTTAAGGAGTTTATCCTTATTCTTAGGCAATGCATCCTAAAGGTGGATTGAAATTTAATGATGTCTGAAACTTAGAAAAAACTCTGTGTATGTGCGTATGTGTGTGTATATAGGTATACTTATGTGTGTGGATACACACGTATTTAAGGAGAGGATGGTTGAAAGAACAATGGAATCGCTAGGCTTCTCGATAGAGAGTTGGTTAATTCTTTGGCCATTTGACATTACTAATAGACTAAATAAGAAAGTAAACACTTATACAGTATTTG